GATTGAGTCCAGGTCCACTCTGATATTTATTGATTCCCTGTTATAATTTACATTCATAAAGTCACAGATTATTTCTCTAATTGAATCTACTAGTTTCATAATTTACACATTATTTTCTTGACTTTTTAAAGCTGACTGAATTCAGGTGGCAGTAAAAACAATACTTAATCTATCTGTTGATGTAGGAGCTGAATACAGAGTCAGAGGCAGCAGGTAGGACAGAGTGTCTCAGGTAGGACAGAGTGTCTCATGTAGGACAGGTGTCTCAGGTAGGACAGAGTGTCTCAGGTAGGACAGAGGGTCTCAGGCAAGAGATGAAGGGGATGGGCAGGTGTGAAAGAAATATAAAATGTTATTTTGAGTACATTCTAGTCTGCTGTGTGAAGTTAATGTAATGAATTACTGATCTAAAGACATAATCTATAGCATGCTTAACAATTTATTTTGACCAGTATAAAAGTGATAGGTTTATTTAACTTTTATTTGTAGGAAGTGACAGAAATTTGTTTTCATAATTGGGATTTTCCTGGTTAAATAAAGGTCAGTAAATAAATCTGTCAATCCATCCACCATTAGCTTTATAATCAGTTCCATGGCTATAAGGGGGGAAGGGAGGCCATCAAAAAAAAAAGCTTTATAATCAGTTCCAAACATCCACATATTGATCTTATAATTAACGTAAAAACCTCCTCTAAGCTTGTTTGGAATAATTTGTCACATTAATTTAATTATCTGAGTCATAACTGAATTTAAAAACAGGACGATGCAACTAGTTTAATGAAGAATCTGTCTCCAGTCATTAAATTAGGTGTTTATTTATGTAGGTAAAAGTATCTTTAACAACCTGTTAAAATACATTAGAAATCAGGAAACAGCTTCTAATTTATTCAAAATTTTGTGGGGGAGGACCCCCAGACCCCCCTCCAGTGTGTCCTTTACACACACATTATAAGATTTATGTGAGAGGATAAACCAACACACCTGTGCTCCACCTGTGTGTCTCTGTATGAAACTATGGTTGATTGTCAAACTGCAGTGAGTTTAAAGGGCTGGTACATGCATGGTTTAATGAAGGTGAACATAATCTCAGTTAATATGGTTCGAGTATTATTGCATCACAACAGAAACATTTGGTGTTCAGTTGTTGATGGGTGCAGACAGTTAAACTGCACACACTGAAGACATGAACAGAAAAACCTGGTCGCACAACTGTKGGTGCGTCAGACCCCGTCCCCCATGGTGCATCCCCACCAACTTTCAGCACAAAGTTACGCCCTTGCTGGAAACACAAACTCTGGCTTCAAAACCAACATTTAGTGTCCTACAAAGTATCTGGATCTACTTTCACTTGATGAAATGAGAAATGGAAACAAAATTTGACCATCTGCTTTAGTGTGTTTAGTGTTTAAGGTATGCTGGCAGAACACTTCTTATCTTTTACCTGAGATGAAACCCCACAGTGACGACTGTGGGAGCGTGTTTGTTTTCTATTAGCTGGTGTCATTATCATTCACTGAACCAGCATCAAACAAATGTCTCACATTGTCTCCTAGAAATTATTTATAGCTGAACTTTCTATATACAGTATAAAATCATTTTCCCAAGCTGTCTTAGTTTGGTCCTTTTTTTAATTTATTTTGTCCTGACACTTTGCCATCATTCTTGATGTTTTCTATGTAAAATTTTGTTATACTGTATTTGGATTTTTTTTATTATTCTATTTTCACTCTGAAAGACAATAACTACTTCTTTTTTTTACTATATGATCAGTTACCTTTCAGAAAATACTTTTTATAATTCTTTCAGTTGCTTTAACCTACAGCTTTGGAATCTTGCTCCAGGCAGTCTGTGGGCTCTTCCTTCAAACTGCAGAATCTTATTCAAAGTTTTACTTGTGCCAACATTTTAGAAAATGCAATTTCCTAAACGATTTCACAGTTTTGTCCTGGATGTGACCTAAAAAATGATTTATTTTAATTATTTAAAATTGTTTTTCAAGTATATTTAACAAAGTCAAAAAGATTCAGCTGATAAATATAACCGCTTACTAACATTTCTCTTTTACAAGATAATTTCTCCAAAAACTGTAACTTTAGCTGTTGGACTCACAGCTCAAAAGAAATCTATTATATTTCCAACGTTAGTGTAATTATTTAAAGACAGATATATTGTTTATTATGAGTAATAAATGTGTTTGAACTGAGAGCCACCTACTCTTTACATGACAGCATCTCTCGTAGCTCCTCCCTGTCTTTCTCCGATTGGTCGAGGCGTTCCCTCAGACCAGCGAGCTCCTCGGCTTCCTCTGCGACAGCTCCCGCGGAGACCGCGGTCTCTGTTGCCGTGGCAATCCCCGCCGCCTCAGAGAGCGTGGCCTGGACCTCTTTGTCCAGTCTGCGGCGGCTGCCTTTYGCAGACTGGGCATGTCTCCTGCTGTCCTGCAGCCTCTGACGGGACGAGAGAGGTCTGTGACGGAGCGTCTGAGAGGASAGCCCGACACTGGTAACCAGTAACAGTTTGCTCTTACCTTCTCTACCTCCAACAGCCGTCTCAATAATCTCTGTTTACTCCACTCTCTGTAACCTAAGAGACACCATCACACACACACATAGGTGTTTTTTTTTTTCATTCTTAATCTCTTAAGTCCCAAGAGGTTTTTGCTCAAAATACCATGCCGACATGTAATTGAGTGTATCTCAGCATTCACAAACTGTACTTAAATAATCTTGGTACCAAAATAAAGCTAACACTTGGGAGATTTCATCAGAAGTGTAAGTATTAAAACAGCTGCTGTGGTTTTAGAGATATTGGGGATGGAACTTTTTTTTTATTTTATTTTCACTCATCTGAATATTTTTTTCATTAGACAGTGTGTATATAACCCATTTAAAACCATAATGATTGAGGCTAAAAACTCTTGGAAACCATAAATCCACTTGTGAACATCACCTGTGCAAAGATTCATGCAGCTAAAATGAACTGGAGCAAAGTTACAGAGGTTTTAGTAAAGAATTAATTTAGCATTTTGTCATTCTGCACAGGGCAGACCATGATGGTAGCATTAACAAATGTTATGAAATCTTAAGATTTTACATCCAAAGTTTATTTATGTTTTCTTACCTGCCTGAAAAGACATGTTATTGAATGATTGTTCTTTTGAAAAATGATTCAAACATTTTTCACCATATATATTATATAAAATAATGATAAATTATTTTTGACTTCAGTTGGATCATATTCACTCAAAATCAAGTGAAAAAAAACTTTCAAAACACTTTACAACATATTTATCTACTTTGACTTGCTTTAAAAATATAATGTCAAAAATCTTGCCTTTGCAGATTTGCTTGAATGTATTTATAGATTTGCAATGATGCCATTTTGTACAGTTTGTTTAATTTCTGATTCAACTGCTTGATGTTTGAACTCTGTTTGGTGAATGTAAATATGGTTTCCATGAGTTTTTAGCCAAGATTCTTAGGTTTCTTTTCATACCAAACATGTCCAGGTTGTTATGACAGATCTGAAGTTAAAAGAAGTTAAAGGAAATAGAAAATGGAAAAAGCTGTTTTGGCTCAAGAGGTTAAAATCCACAAAAATAGAGATGGGGTTAGGATAACAACAAATGACGTCTTGATAATTTAATAAATGATAACTTGTGACAGCTGTGGATGAAATGTGATTGATAAAGACCTTTAATTCCACCAGCAGGACTGTCGGTGTTGAGCTCCTCCCTCAGCGCCGCGTTCTCCTGCCGGAGCAGCTTCAGGTCCTCAGCCAGGCGATGGACTGTGGAGTTCAGGGCTTTCTGCTGCCTCTGGGAGCATTTACTCTCTGCTCGACCACTGCAGGTTGTGAGACAGGAACTTTTAAMCTTTGCGACACCAGCTGGAGTGCGTGTAACAATGAAAAGCTTGCCCTTGTCAGTTATGAAGACCTTTTTTCTGCAGCCTCTAGAAGCGTCCTCAGTCTCTGGATCTTAAAGATGAGAAAAAATGTGTTGAAAGTTTCCTTTTTGCAGCAGCAGCCAAAGCAGACTTAATAACAAAGAGAAGCAAAAACAACACACCGTGTTATAAAGCTATTACCTCTTCAAAGTAGGTTTCCACAGTGATCTTCAGCTCCTCCATGTTTGTAGTTCTCAGATCACTTTGTAGTGTACTAAATGAATGAATGAACTCAATGAATCTCAACAAAGTCCTCTGCAAAAAACAAATGCACTTAATGGAACTGTGAAGAAGGACTTTACCTTAGAGCGTTTTCTTTCTCTCTACACTGTTGCTCCAGCTTCAGGATTCTTTGCTTCAGCCCACTGACAACCTGAACCGACAGGATTATTTTWAAAAACTCACTAAAAGCCATTTCTGACATGATTTCCTTTTTTGTTCAGCAACACACTCACCACACTCCCTTCTTTTTTCTTATCCACCAAACTACGAGTGTATTCAGATCCCTGCTCACACACACACACACACACACACACACACACACACACACACGCAAATACTTTTTAAAATGTGAACATTCAGGAAAAATACTTCACAAGGGAATTTTTCTGCCGCACTTTTATAGGCTCCAACAGCTCTTCGATCTGTTTCTCTCTTTTCATGTTATCTTCCTCCATCCGCCGCAGTCTGACTTTCATCTGTTGGTTGTCAGACCTCTGAGCGTGGAGACTCTAACAAAAGAATAAATAAAAACATATTGATCCAAATATATTACAATAGAATGCTTAATATGATAAATATGAACAAACATGCACTTGAAAACATGTTTCCTTGCTTTTTTGCAGAAGAAAACCGTTTTAAAACATTAGTCCATCTTGGAACTGACTGAGGCTATTGTAGCAGACTACAGTGTGCTACAAATTATCAGTAAACAATGAGTTTCATGTCTCCTTCAGCTTGGTGGAACTGAAAACACCTCTCTCTTTACCTTCTTGAGGCAAATGATCTSATCGTACATGTCCTCCTTCTCCATGCGCTCACCTACACCGACAGTAAAACCTGTAAACRCACAGAAACTGATGATGTGTAACAACAAAGTCACCCACATCTTCAACTCATAGTTCTGAGGAAAAAAAAAACTGTCTCTGCCACTCTCAATGAACTGCTATCGGACACAAAGGTTGTGTCTCAATTCGGGGGCTGCATCCTCGAGAGTGCATATTTGTCGGCCGCATACATCACTGTCCCGCGCCAAGTGCTTTCCCAATTCGAAGGCTCATTCTCATGCGGCCGGGGAATACGGCCCACAAAATCTTGAAAATCAAAGAGTATCCTTCCCGACAGAGGGTATTCCAGGATTCAATGCGCGGACAACAAACTAAACAGAGAAACAAAGATGATGGAGTTTTTTTATTTTTTACCATGTCGGCGTAGTTTGGAAATTCATCACGGACCGAAGATTTTGCTTTTAAATGTAAGTTTAGCAACTTAGCTGATGAAGTTTACACTGCAATAAGATCTCCATCTACTTTTGCTTATCCGTAGTCGGGTCACGGAGGCAACAGGTCCAGAAGAGAAACCCAGACATCCCTCTCCCCAGCGACACTTTCCAGCTCGTCCTGGGGGACCCCGAGGTGTTCCCAGGCCAGAGAGGATACATACTCCYTCCAGCGAGTCCTGGGTCTTCCTCAGAGCCTCCTACCAATGGGATGTGCCCAAAATGTCTCTAAAGGGAGGAGTCCAGGAGGTATCCTATTAATCAGATGAACCACCTCAACTGGCTCTTTTTGATGTGGAGGAGCAGCGGCTCTACTCCAAGCTCCCCCTGGATGACAGGGCTCCTCACCCTATCTCTAAGGCTGAGCCTGGCCACCCTACAAAGGAAGCTCATTTTGGCCGCTTGTATCCAGGATTTTGTTCTTTCTGTCATGATCCACGCCTCATGACCAGAGGTGAGGGTTGGAACGAAGACAGACCAGTAAAGAGAGCTTTGCCTTTCGACTCAGATCTTTCTCCACCACGACTGACCAAAGCAACGCCCTCTTCCAGTGTAAAGACATGTAAATACACATCCCAACCAATTTTAAGTATGAAACCGATCACTATCGTAACAGAGTAGCGCATAGTCACGCAAACTTACGTCAAGCGAAGGCTAGACCTCATCTCATTTCACAGCAGTTCCATGCAGCCTACCCAGACTGGGAAGGATGTGGCCCAMGTGGCCCAGCTGGGCTACGTGGGCCACTCATGAGTATCCAGCCCATGAATCGAGACACAGCCAAACACTGACCCTCCGCATCACCTGTCCCCACTTTTCTGTTCTGTCTCTCATTCTGAAACGCCTACGTGTTCTCTCACCATTGGATGGGAAGTGAAGTGGTCTGTGTGTCCTCGAGCTCACTTTCTGCTTCAGAGGCTCTGGGCTGTCATCAATGTCTGAACCATCTGAAAATAGGCAGACAGAGGAATGACAGAAACATAAATAAATAGACCCCACATAGCACAATTTGTCTGGCCCAGTTCTGGCTCACACGACGCACTAATGACACAATTTTCRTCTTGAAACTGCGACAATCCAATTCCGGCAGTTCTGATGCAGCATGCTGCGCGTTTAACACTCAGCCCAGATCCCGCAAAGAATGACRGCCCTTTGGTGGCCCAGATGTGGTTTGCCAGAGGTGGTCCATGCATGGCCCAGCACTACATAAATCAAACCACAACTGGGCCATCTGTGGCATTTCATCTTAAAAATGGTGCCATCACTGTCAGACCTGGCCCACATCTGGTTGACAAACCAGCTCAAATGCCAGCTTGATACCAGATCTGGCCCAGACCCGAGACTCTTCTTCCCTCTGTATGAACTCAGAGTTTTGTGTCACTTTTTATAGATTTTTATTATACTTTGCTATTGGAATGATTACTGTATTTATCACTGATGCTAATTAAATGGCATTTCGTGGGGTTTTTTATAGATAAAAGGTTGTATTGAAGTAATTTAAATGTATAGTAGATATACTGCAAGTTAATACTAAAGATGAGACGTTCACAAACAATCAGAATCTTCTGAATGGCTCTTTAAAATGAACACTGTTAACTGAGTAGCAGACTACTGAGAAACATTTTTTTTCTTCTTCTCATGTTTTTCCCCTCAGATGCAGACACACACACACACACACACACACACACACACACACACACACACACACACACACACACACACACACACACAC